TTACCAACTTCGATTTTTCAGTTTTACACCGTTGCCAAATCATTTCTTGAGCTAAAAATATTTATTGTTCTAAAAAATATATGTTTATATTTGAAACTTTTACACAAATAAACACTAATATTTTTTGCATTTTAATTGCATTATAATCCATATTTCTTTAAATTTTAGCTATTTATTTCTTCAAATTTTATTGTTCAAATGTTGGCTACACTCCATATTTCTTTTGTATTAAAGCATTCCCCTCGCTGCCCGCCTCAGCCTTATAACCTCCTTAATCGATCGCTACATAGATCAACTTGTTGCGAGCGATGACATTATTGCTGTATGATTGTAATGAATGACCAACGATATAACGAGACTGTTTTTCTCTTATGTTTCAGTGGGCATTTCCGTACTGATGTTCTTCCTATTCGGCAAACCTTATAAACGCGGTTTTTTTTGCAACGATGAGTCACTCTATCATCCGTATCACGAGTCTACGGTTACGAGCACGATGTTGTACGTCATCGGTCTTTTACTTCCTATATGTACGGTGAGTCACCTTGCGTTTGCAATTACGATTATGATTTATGCGATATAAGATTCGTGAGGAATCACTTGACAATTTACCATTACCTGCAGCGAGAATCTTATCTCTCTCACGACGATCCTTATTCGTTTGTATGAAGTGTAAAAATTCACATTTGAAATATAGTCATCGTTTAGCAAGTTAATTTAACGTTAAATATTTCTCATTACAGAGGAAATACCACTTAATTTTTATCGACATTCTCTTTTTCTCAGACACTTTCGCTTTAAAAAAATTACGTATGTTTATAGATTAGAAACTATATTACGCTCGTCATATAATAATCAACAGCAGATGTGATCGCGAGCGATTGAAAGAGTCCATCGCGTTTGCCGCTTTTGAAACTCTTTTTTATCCTTCTAAAAGGAGGGATGACAGAGATGGTGTCTAAGAACACGAGAGACGCACGAGATGGCTCACGTCTCGCTGCCTGCACATGAGAGTAGACTAGAGGGAAGTAAGTGCACTCGTGTTCGATGCTCGTGGGCATTTTACGGTATCAATTTACAGTATACGTATACGAAAGTAATGCACACGACTCGCAACAGTTGCAACACATGTATTACCATCCGAAAATTTTTGTTGAGTTCTCATAGGATATAAAAGAAAGGAGGAGAGCGAAAAAGAATCGGAAACTATTCTTTTCGTGCGTCTATTTTTTATTTGCTTCCTCAAACACATGCATTTTACTGCTTAGGAATGGAACAAAACCGATTCGATCGAATGCAATAAAACGATTTTTTTCTTTTTCCGCGATATGTCGTCATCACATGACCTTGCTTGTGAGAACGATCGGACCGTTTACATGAATAGGTATATACGACGCACCTATTAAAAACTTAATTTATTAAGTATTACTTACTATGTTTATAGTAAACAAACTATATCAGTAAAAACTTTGTACTGTCTACTACTATGAAAACAATATTAGAAATCTGAAATATTTATTTTTCATATTAAAAAATAAACTTTTCGAAACCCTTGCATTTTTGCTATATATCCCATAGGGGTGGGATATATGGCTACTCATAGGGGGAGGGGGGATATACGGCTCATGAAAAATTTACAAATAATGCATATAAATAAGACGTATAATGACATAATAACTTTTAAAATATGTTTATAAAGTTTTATTAAGAAATAAGAATGGTAAATATGTATATGAAGTAATAAATAATAATTACGATCTTCCTACATATATTACAAATGTTATGACATGAAGTAGGTATTTCATATAATGCGTTTATTGCATTTAGTGTACTGAATTCAATCTGCGCACTTCGTATGCTTTGAGCATAAATCCCGCTCGCTAAAAATGCCGTATATTCCAAACATGTGGGATATACAAGACAACAAACTAAACAAAGAATACGAAAGCAAAGCTCTTGTATTTTGCTACACACATGCTTTACTATTCCACTACGCGTATGTATCACGAAATAACTCAAGGGGGTAACCACTATCTGAAATATTGTCCCACAGATTACATGATTTCATCTGATTACAAATAATTTTTTTCACTACTATGAAGTAATTTGGTAAAATATACGATTTTATTTAATATTATACAATGATTTCTCGTGGTTGCATATATAATTATCGGATTATACATAGAGATTTTATATAAATTTTATAATGATTTCGAGAATTCTGTTCCACGATTACATTAAGTGGTTACCCCCTCGAAATAACTACTAAGTCTTTTACACGCTCTACATTAATCATTTTATGTAGATTATAATTTATAATGGCGTTACTTATTACAGTGACAAACCGATTCAACTCACAATAAATTCATTAATATTAACAGTAAGAAGCTGAAATCATAACACAATACTAATATAACATAAAGGCATGTAACAGAGTAGTTACGGGAAAATTACCCCCACTCCTTCTATTTTTTCTGACTTCTGCGGCGTAAATCCCAGCGCGGCGTATTTGCCGGAGTTACCCTAGTTTGTGACTATTTATAAATTTCGCATATTTTCTCTTACTCAAACGTTTAGAAACCTATTCAACTTCAACGAATACATTGAATTTCTTCTCTATAAATTTCTGATCTAATATTGACATCTATTTCAAAATTAACTTTTAAATACATGTTCGAAGAATACGAGTAAGAAGTGCACTCGTTCTTATAGTTTCTTTCTTTAATTTTGTTATTTTTAAATTTAATGTTATATACATAACACAAACTTGTTAACTTTTTTCATAATTCTAAAATTCTCCTCTTATATAAATTTATACATATCATATACATATATGTATATAAAGTATTTTTAATCAAATGTTTCTTATATACATATTTTATATGTTAATGAATTACATACACGGAGAGAAATTTTTCTTAGAATTTGCTCTGAAAATATGTAGTCGTGGGACAACATTGTGTATTTTCAAGAATTTTAATATAAATCTCCCTTTTTCATTAACTCTCAGTACTTACTTCTCTAACAGTCCCTATCTACCCACATCCGGATATTTGTAACCCAGCATTTTTCTTTTGCTTATATCTCAGATTGTGGTGCATCGATTTTAATTAATTTTTTTTTAATCTGTCGTTTGAAGACTAAAAAAAAATTTTTGAATTTAAAATGTCGCACAAAAGATATTTTGCAATGAAAAGAGATCGGAAAAAACGTGAAAAAATCGATTTTTTTTCAAAACTTCATCTTTTTGTAAAAAATAAATGAAAAAAGATTTTATTAGTGATGAATCAACAGCTAATGAGTTGAACTTTAAGAAACTATAAGCGTTTTTGCGATTTGTTCTAAAAACGATATTTTTGTTACAAAGTGAAAATGAGTGATTTTTCGGCTTTATGGAAACTAATCATAAATCGAAAATCTTTGAATTTTGATAGAAATAAATAAAAAAAGTGATCCTAATGTTCTTCTAATGGTAAATATTAACAATTTACTATTATATTTAGTATTTACCGCATTTGCCGAGGGAGCCATTAATGAGGAAGAAGAAGAAGTCTTTTTCTGATATTAAGAACATAATAAAATTGACTTAAATCATTTTTTTATAATGTGCACTCATGATTAAAATCATAAATAATCCAATTAATCATTTCTAATTACATTTTAACTTTGCAGTAAATCTGGATTTTCTGACATTGTACATACAAGGGTTAGAGCAATTCCAACACGCACTTTACCCTGTACAATTACATAGCTAATGGTGCTTTAGAAGGTCATCAAGCAAGGGAATTGTAGAGGTGGTACTTAATTTTTTTCTCCTCCAACCTTAGCACCATTGCTCAAAGCGTGTTCGAATGCCTGAACTATGAAAATCGGATGGGGTTATGCTAACCTCTTGTATGTACTGAGGGTCAATAAAGTATAAAATAATTTTTGATTAATTTTACTGAAATGCATGGTAAAAATCTTTAAAATATTGTATTGTACCACAACTACCATATCTTTGGGTAATAAATTTTAAAACAAAATTCTCTTCGCGTATACATAATTAATTACATATACAAATTATATAAAATTTTATTAAAAATCCCCACTTGACCTTGAAATGATCATGAAAATATGAGTTCAAGGACATTGTCAGGGTCATGGTTTGGTCTCCCCTTGACATCCAACAACTTTTTTCACAAACACTATCCGGGAAAAATCAAGATTTTTTGGCTTTCTGCTTCGATTAGGAATTACTTTTTTCACAAACACTATCCGGGAAAAATCAAGATTTTTTTGGCTTTCTGCTTCGATTAGGAATTTATCTTTGAAATGACCTCTATGGTCAACTTTGACCCATAACATGAAAGTTCATTCTGGACGTAAAATTTTGCGCTCTTTAAAAATCCGGGATCAAAAATATGGGTTTCTATTTGAAAATTGAAAGTAGACCTTCAAATAACCTTGAATGAAGGTCAAGGTCATTGTCAAGGTCATAGTTCAATCAGCCCCCTCATATCCAACAATTTTTGTTTTAAACATTTTTTTATTTAATCGCGATATTTCGAGTTATTTGGTTGTCTAAGTTAAAATGGGACACCCTGTATATTATATGTTAATAATTTATGAAAGATTTTTCGAACTATTTTAATATTTTAACAGTCAAGTGAAATTTTTTAAGTTTAAAATAATTTTTAATATATTGTATATTTAAGAAAAATGAAATAATTTTTGTGATCATTTTAAATTTATCATGGACTTGTTTTAATAAGAGATATTAAATATCTGAAAATAGAGCTGTTGCTGATGTAGTTTTCTTTTAGATTCTGAAGAAAAATTTTTTTGTATCTGAAATTATGCAAATAATGCAAATCTATATGATTTACTGAGTATTATTTCTATTATTTATTTATTAACGAATGAGTGCTATTTTTTTTTACCGTAGACGAAAGCGAAAAGTTGAAAGTTATTGTGCCATAATCAGATTCACGTGGATATAAAATGCATCGTTTTCGTTTTTGTCAGCGTTTCTCATTTCAGCGTCGGTCATGAAAGACTTGCTCCTCAGATGTCAGGTGTTCACTCCACTCTTCTGCTCTCTTCTCAACCATCACATGAAGTTTAAATTAACGCTGTCACCGCAAGGCAAATAATTTCAAGTGTTGTGCATAATTCAAAGCACGTGAAATTGTGTACATATACAATATGTGTATGTAAGTAAAAAATAAATAGAGAGAAAGAAAGAGAGAGAGAGAAAATTCTATTGTTTTAATAAAACCATAAAATATGTATTACAGGCAATAGGAGTCGACGCTGGTTATCAGTTAGCGCAATTTTTCTTAATACTAAATATAAACCTTAACTTCGAACGTTTCCACTCATGGTTTGAGTCTTCATCAGCAATCTTTCATTCTAGCGTAACGATTGGAGTATTGCATGATAAAAGATATCTCCAACGTTTTTCCTCTCAAATATTGAACCGTTTGCTGTTGTGACGTAAGTCACATACTCACAAAGTTAGAAAGCTGAGTG